ACGTTGAACTTTTAGATACTTTATACAAAACGCGATCGATTGGACGATAAAAACGTGCCATGCGCTCATTTTGACCACAGTTCATTGGGTAGAATTGAAATCGCTGTTTTCCCACATCGATATAAGGTTTCAATTTCAATAATTTTGCTAAAACAATCTGACGTGGGTTATTCAATGACCAAAAAAGGCTGGCAGTGTTGTTTCAACAAACTTGAACTTGCCTGGTTCCACAATTTTTCACCTGCATTCAGCTTATATGCACATTTTGACAGTGGAATAATTCACATCATCGAAAAGTAAAACTAAGATAGTACAAATAGATTTGCATTATTTTTTCAAGTCCTGCCAAATTCCCTTTCATTCTACAGGAAAAGATTCATTATTTATGAAAGATGCAATTTTTTCAATTCAATTCTTCACTAATTTAATTCTTCAATGTGCTTAATTCTTAGATTGATATAAAACAAAGTAGAACTGCATTGAGGAATATTATGAGAGGATGTTTGATTTACGGTCATCACTTATCTCCATACGACATTCAGCAAACTATTATTGATTCAAACAATAAAAATGTAGCAGCTTTCGCTCATTACATAGAACCGGCATGAATCTTTATTCGTCTGTCTCGTGCGGATCTTTTACTCTATTCAATTACTATATCGTTGATTATAAAATAGTATTGTAATCCATAGAAATTGTAGCATAAAACGTACTGAAACAATGGCCAAGTCATTTTCATCATACATAAAAGCACTTATTGTCAAACTGATTGGTTCATAATTTAAAAAGTTATCTAAACTTTTCTAACACTCCAATCAAATGATTAATCTTGTATTGCTCATAAATTCCTTATAAAAAACTACTGGTTCTCATCATAATCTCGATCCGCAATCAAATTGTAACTTAACACCTTCCAATAATCAGCCTTTAAAAGGCGATATTATTATGTACCAGCAGCTCCTCACTTGGCTGATTTTAGCTCTGCCTCATTTCGTTTCGACTGGCATATTATTCATCGTATTTTGTTAATAATGAATTTTAAGAAATTCTTTGCTTTACGTTGAAAGGAAATTCCCATTCCACCGCATCAAATCCAAAACTCCGAACCAATTCAAACCAACCAAATCTGAGACAATCCCAAAAATCCGTAACAGTTTTGGTCATTCGAACAGTGAATGACGAACTAATTTGGAATCTATAATTCATCAGTTTATAAAATCTAATGAAACTTGATTTCGAAATCAACAATATACGAATATCATAAGTTTAATTGAAGTTTTTGAGAGTTAAATTTCATATATTCTTTTATTGCGAAGTTAAATTTTAATCTCTTGATCAATGTCAATGTTATCAGCATCCGAAGGTTATAACGATATTTTCCAATTCATAATGCATTTTACATGGAATATGTAAATTTAAATTTATTTGATGTAAGCTGCAAAAAATAAGTTTGCTTACGTCAGAAAATGTCGAAAAATCTGAAATTAATTCCTAGTATAGCCAAGTAATTGTATTTCTTTTAAAAAGTGCATAATCAAATGATTGTTAATTTGAAAGAATTTCTTAATGATTCACCATCTGTATTGAAGTTGTACAACGCTTCATTAACAAATTATCATTATGATAACTATTCCATATCTAAATGTTCATCTCAAGTATTTCTTCTCATGCTCAAATATAAGCTAATCAAATGATTAATCTTAACATCCGCTGACTTATCTTTAACATTTCTCTTATAAAAACCATTCTTTCCCATAGCTATCTTTGTAGCTTATCTAATTGTATTATTACACGCCCATTAACTCACATCCTCTTTAAGAATTTAAATATCTCAAATTTTGGACAACAAATCGTTGTGTTTATTGTGACTATTGTAATTATTATAGCTACTGGAGACCACAAATTCTCGTCACATTCTTGCCTTATCCATTAATCTCTCAGCCAAAATAAACATTTAAACAAAATCGTCAGTGAATTATCAAATCAGTAAATCAATCATCAAACTATTTGAATTGAGTCAAATCAACTCCAAAACTTCCACGATAGAAAATTTACCCGAGTCACTTTTAACTTATTGACAAATCTTGATCTGCAAGATCAGTAATCGTTTTGGCATAATATTCTTAATTTTAAAATAACTGCAAATGATATTTCCCAATAAAGAGACAATTAAATTAAAACTGATTAAAAAATGATCAAAACACTAATTACTATTCTAAAAAAAAATGTCGAACTCGAGAATAATATGAATTTATATTATTTCTCATAATCATCTCCCGAAAATGCAGAGCAACAACTCTGTCAGAATCCATATCAATGGAAACTTAAAATAAACAAATAATTTAGTTGATGCAACAACATTTTACAAAATGATTTTACCTAATTTTGTCCGTCTATGTTAACAAACTGATTGCATATTGCTAGAAAACAGCACAGAATATATTTCTTACCATTTTTAATACAATGGATCTGTAACGAAGAATTAATTGTATTAAAATATAAAAGTTTACTGCAGAAATGCCAGCGTTAATTCTAAACTGAACTATTGGAGATTCGTGTGCATCCAGAAATGAGAACATAATTCTGGAAAAATATGAGTATCTCTCTAAAGGAAGTTGCATAATGATTGCATTTCTAATTAACATTTCTGAAAGTGCCTTTGCTTCATAACAATATATTTCATATTAAAATATTTACATGCA